ACCTCAGACATTTCCTGTAGAAATGACATTTCTGAGAGTTACATTCTCTAATATAATAAAATAAAAAAAGGGTCATTCTCTGAAAGACCCGAGACCAGTGTTTCTCAGATTTTAGTATGCAAACAAAGCATCTAAGGATTCAAATGAGCATTCTGATTCTGTGGGTCTGGTGGGGTTGGGACTTTCTCATCCACGGTTCTGTCAAACTCTCAGGAGATGCCCCTGCTTCTGGATCCTTGTGTTGAGCGACATGGTTCTAAAGGGACATTTCCTTGGGGCTAAGAAATTCAGGTTCACGTTTAAACCAAAATGCATCCCCCCACTCATGCTCTGCTATTCACAGTAGGCAAGCCGGCTGCCAACAAGCTATGGGAAAGAGCACGAAATACTTAAGCATTGAATAGTGCACACGGTAAAAAACAAAACAGGACTGAATTCCATTTCTGTCTCATAAAATAAGGGGCGCAGTTTCTGCTAAGTGCTGTAATATGCTCATGTTTATCAGGCTCATGACTCTGGTCGAAAGACCTGGAAACCTTGAGTGGCTGTGACGTTATCAGTAGCCCTTGGCCAGCCTGGGGAAAGGAAGATACAGAATTCTGATGTTTGCTTTTGTTGCAGGGCAGGTGCCGTGTGCCTCTCGTTGCATTTCCTTTCTCTGCCTCTCACCTGTGCCACCACACCCACGCCCGCTGGGTCACAGCTGCTGGCGTGTCTGCCCATCATGCTCGCTGGTTCTGAGCTGATTGAGATGAACAGTGTCTTAACCTGTCTAAATAAATAAAGTTGCTTCTGGACGCCTGACTAGACTGCGCTGGACAGGAGTCGTGGGGTTTTCATTAGGAAAGTTTAGCAGCCTTCGTTACACCCTCGTATGTCTTGTAGCACAGACCTGCTTAGATCTGCATTCTGCTTTAAAGTGAGCTCGAGTTTAGGGACTTCTAATGAAGGGAGATTGATAGCACCAAACACAGACTTTTCTAGTGAAACTAAAACATAGTTTTGCATGATCTTGAGATCTGCAGCTGTATATTTGGAAGAAGATGGTTAGATGGCTGAATTAAAAAATCATATAAGAAGCCATAGACTTCTAGGTGGTATTTAATTCTATTTCTAATCCACAACTTTTGACTAAAGGGGCGCCCTTCATAGTCACATAATGACGTCAGTGGCCATGGAAGTTTCATGGTCTGTATGTTCTGCGCCCTGAGAGGGAGGGTGCTTGTGGAGGTGTGAGGACTGCCAGTTGAATGAGTACTTGACTCAGATGTCTGCTGCCCTGCCTCTCCACTTCTGCTTGTTTGCTGTTCTAGCGGTGCTTCTCCGCCCTGCCGTCGGCCTCGGGAAGGCACCTGGGTGTGGACGGAGGCAGCCCTTTGTAGCTGGAGGCAGCTGGCCAGGGGCACTGAGCGAGCAACAAAACTCTTGACTCCTGTTTCCCAGGCTCACCCTGTCAGACTGGGAAGTTCGGCTTTATGCTTGCCCTTCTGACCTTCATGGAATCGGATTTCTTCTCTGCGTTACAATGTCGTCAGTAGTCATGTTAAGTGGAATTGCTTAATTTTAAAAGAAAAGTCTTTAAATGTGGCAGGAAGAAACAAGTAATAGAAAAAGATATGTAGTGTGATGCCTAGTTTTATAAAGTTCAAAAACAAGTGAAAATATATATTGTCTGGAGACACACATATGTGGTAGAGGAAATCAGGATAATTACAAACAAATTTCATGATAAATAGTTCCTTCTGGGGTGGGCGGCAGTGAAATTGGGTAAGGGAACCCCCCACAGAGAATTTAAACTGTGCTGATAATGTGTGAGTTTTTCAGTTGGATATTGGGTATATTTAGTGTTACTGTATGCTTTATAACCTACACATATATTTTTGTTTTGATAATATATTTCATATTGAAAATAAGTGAAAAATGGAAAGAAAAGGTCTTGGCACAATTCTCATTCTTTCCCCAGTTGTAGTATTAATATGCTAGAACTACAAAAATAATGTAACAATATTAATGAAAAGTTGGAGTGAGGGAACATCGGTAACATCAATCCCCTCACACTGCTGCTGTTGTTGGATTTATTTTCTTCTGGTAGGAATGTGTATGTTCTTGGGGCTTCCTCAGTGGTAAAGAATCTACCTGCCAATACAGGAGACCCAGGAGATGAGGGTTCAATCCCTGGGTTGGGAAAAATCCCCGGGAGAAGAAAGTGGCAACTCATTCCATAATTCTTGCCTGGAGAATTCCACGGACGGAGGAGCCTGGCGGGCTACAGTCTATGGGGTCACAGAGAGTCGGACACGACTGGGCGCACACATACACACACACACACACACACACACGTTCTTAGTTATAATGTGTATCATTGTGTATTTTTATATTACACAGTATATTGATGGTCTTTATAACCACTGGTTTTAATGGCTGAATAATGTTGGGAGTGGTTAGTATCACAGTATACTAACCACTCTTCTGTGGTGGAATATTCAAGTTTTTCAATATTCAATATTTCAGCTTTTCTGCCATTAATGTCCATCTTCATGGTTCTTTTGTTCATTCTACAAATAACTTACCTGTGTGTAAGGCATTCTGCTAGCTGCTAGAATTACAGTGATAAGCAGAAAGAGCCATAATCTCTGTCCTTGTGGAATCTAGAGTCTCATAACGAACAGTTCTTGATGGCATTTTGCATTTTAGCCACATTAATCTTTGAACTTTAAAAAAAAAATTGAGTGAACTGTAGATTTACATGCAGTTTAAAAAAATGCATAGAGAGACCCCGCATGCACTTCATTCACCCTGTTTCCCCTGTGGCAACATCTTGTGTAACTGAAATTCTGCAACAGGAACTGATGCATTGATGCAGTCCACCAACCTCGATTCTCTGTTGAGCTACTTGTCCCTCACGTGATGGGGGCCTCTCAGGACTTTCTGAAACAGAGAGATGACTCCATGTGAGGTCACTCCAGACATTGCTCAGTGATGCCTTTGATCCATAGAGTTGATCGAAGGCATTTGGAAAGGATGGGACACACAGGCTAGGTAAGGTACATTTGGACTTTAAACCTAGTGCCCTGACCTTGCTACTTAGCTCTGAATAGTAAATGCATCTCCAGATCTTTAAAGTCTTTTTCGGAACCAAGAAAAATCAAATAATAATGAGAGCCAATTCGGGTATGTTGAGAGAGGAAACTAGGTCTAACTGCAGAGCGAGCCGGGGGGGGAAGTAACCACGGTTTACCAGCCTTGCACTTTGAAAGCGCAGGGTTCTCCTTGCCGCCACCCTCCCTCCCTCCCGAGCACACACACACGCCTGTGAACACCCGCACGCCCGAGCTGCTGTTCTGATTCACGGGAGTCCCTGGTTCTGGGCAGGGGAGAAGCACGTGGCCTCTGGTTGAGTGTGTTCTGAAGTGGCTTAGTGGCTTTTTAGTTACTTGTGTGTTCGTGATTTAGGTCTTGTTCTTAGCTGTTGAGATTTTCGTTGTTCTATTTCTTTAAAGTGAACGGCATGGTCCTCACTATCTGAGCAAAGTGTGAGGTCCAGGAAGCCCCAGGGTCTGCGCAGCCAGTGCGCTAAGCGTTTGTGGCTGCTGTCGACTTAGCCCGGTGAGGACGGACCTGCTTGGAGGTGTGCTTGGTGGCAGGAGGCTGTGCCAGTGGGACGTGGCCTGCTGTCCGTCAGCCTTCCATCCGTGCTGGGGGCTTCAGAAGCATTCTGCCATCCCAGCTTGCTCTCCTTTGCTTTTGGCTGCTTTTTCTGTACCATTTCTCTTTCCTTAAAACGGAAGTGTTTGCTCTCTGACCTTGTAAAGTGCTTCATTCGTGTGTTCATTTGTTCGCTTTTGGCTGCGCCGGGCCCTTGTTGCTCTGGGGCTGCCCTCCAGGTGTAATGTGCGGGCTTCTCACCCTGGGGGCTTCTCTTGTTGCAGGGCATGGGCTCCAGGGTGTGCAGACTTCAGCAGTCGTGGCCCCCCAGTTCTAGAGCACAGGATTCGTAGTTGGGGTGCACGAGCGTAGTTGCTTCCCAGCACGTGGGATCTTCCTGGATCAGGGTTCACACCCTTGTCCCCAGCATTGGCAGGTGGATTTTTTTTTTTAACCACTGAGCCCCCAGGGAAACCCTTTAACCTAAAGCCTAAAATCTTTGACCAAGAACAGTCTGAAATCCCAGCCTGGGGTGGTCTAGTTGCTGCCTGCCTCCTGGAGACCCTCCTGGCGGGAGGTGAGCCCCGCCTTGCTCTGCAGGCCGCTCACCCAGGCTGCCTTCCAGGCCGTCTTTCTGGGGCTGCCTGTTTGGCCGTCCTCGGGCCTGTGGTGCTGTGTTCTGCCTGGAGCACCGTCTGCCCCCCTTCTCTCCGGCTGCAGTGGTCTGCCTGCCTGTGCCACCCTCGGACACCCTGCGTGTGCAGGCAGTTCTGGCTTACACACAGCCTCTGCGTGGAGGCCTGCCCCAGCCTGCCAGACCGCGTCTCAAGCCGCTGCCGCACGCCTCGGGGCGCTCAGAACTTTCCCTCACTGCCCTCATCCCCATTTGCCATGGTGTTGTGGATTCTGAATTTGCTGACAGTGGGGCCTCCCAGCCTCCCCAGACTGTCCTCAATGATGGCCCTATCTCTGCTCACAGCTGATTCTCGAGTGCCTGGGCTAGTGGTTTGGCACATAGCAGCTTCGCAGTCAGTATTTGCTCAATTAATGAATTAACTCAGGGAGATGGCTACCCTCTAAAATGTCCTTCGGGAGCCTGACATAGAATTTATTATTTTTAAAATGGAATTAGTGGGAATTTCCTGGCAGTCAGGGGTTAGGACTCTGGGCTCTCACTTCCGAGGGCCTGGCTTCAACCCCTGGTCAGGGAACTAAAATCCCATCAGCCTTGAGGCACGGCCAGAAAAAAAAAAAAAAATAGAATGAGGACCTCTTTGTAAACGTCCAGTTATATATTCCTGTAAAATCATTGACCTGTCCTTGGCGTCCGTGACTGTGATGTTTGTTTCTTTCAGGTGGGGACCAGGGTTTACTGAACACGTTTTTCAGCAGCTGGGCAACAGCAGATATCAGAAAACACCTGCCATTCATTTATAACCTCAGCAGCATTTCCATATACTCCTACCTCCCAGCGTTTAAAGCGTAAGTGCCAAGGGCTCACCTGCAGGGTGGCATGCTGAGGGCAGGGGGTGGGGTTCCGACTTGGGGAGGGGGTGCCTCAGTGTCATTCTTGGGGCAAAAACAGATGGAGACTCTGAGGAAAGTCCTTTCTCTCCTAAGAAACTTGGCTCTGATAGGGAGGGGCCTTGCTGGTATCCATCGCTTTACGTTTGGAGGAACCCAGAGGGCCCTTAGCTGCCTGTGGGGAAAGGTTCCCATGGGTTCCTGGGATGCCAGGCCCTCTGATGAATCACCTCTCTGTCCTGGTCAGGAACACTTCTGCCTTGTACAAGCTGTTGAGCCTCAGCTCTCTAAAATGAGGGTGTGAACAACCCTCTCCGTGGTGGTGGTGGGGATGGCGTAAGATGTGTGGTGTCATGGCCAAGGGCAGGGCCTGTGGAGCTGGCCCCCCTCACTTCACATCCTGGAGAAGCCACTTCCTGGATGGTTACTAGTTACTGACCTCACAGCTCAGGAGAAGCTGGGCTTGTCACTGAGCGCGTCCTCGGTGTCCTCCAGAGGCTACTGTGAGCACTCGGGGGGGTGGCCCAGTCAGTACAGAGTCTGCCCGCCACGCCGGAGACCGGGCTTTGATCCCTGCGTTGGGAGGATTCCCTGGAGAGGGAAATGGCAACCCACTACAGTATTCTTTGCCTGGGAAATCCCATGGAGAGAGGAGCATGGAAGGCTGCACAGGCCATGGGGTCACAGAGTCAGACATGACTGAGCCACTAACCCTACCTAAGGGAGGCAATCACGTGAAGAGCTGAGAGAGGCTGGCCTCCCTTTGTTGTGGTTCAGTCACCAAGTCGTGTCTGACTCTCTGCGACCCTGTGGACTGCAGCACGCCAGGCCTCCCTGTCCGTCACCAACTCCCGGAGTTTACCCAAACTCATGTCCATTGAGTCAGTGATGCCATCCAACCATCTCATCCTCTGTCGTCCCCTTCTCTTCCCACCTTCAATCTTTCCCAGCATCAGGGTCTTTTCCAGTGAGTCAGCTCTTCGCATCAGGTGGCCAAAGTCCTGGAATTTCAGCTTCAGCATCAGTCCTTCCAGTGAACACCCAGGACTGATCTCCTTTAGGATGGACTGGTTGGATCTCCTTGCAGTCCAAGGGGCTCTCAAGAGTCTTCTCCAACACCACAGTTCAAAAGCATCAATTCTTTGGCCTCCCTTAGCATTTAGTAGTAGCAGGCGATGTGTCCTCTCTGTCTGGGAGGGGGTCTAGCAATGCAGGCGATCTCTCAGCCTGAGGAGCAGCGTGTGGTTCCTCATTCTGCCATTTCCCTGCATTGTGGGGAGGGCTCTTGGCTTCAGTCCCCCATATGTAAAATGAGGAGGGAAGTCATAACCTCCCTCGTCAGGCTGTTGGGATAAAGCAGTTCATACACGTAAAGTGCTCATTTCACACCGTTCCCTGTGTTTCTAATCTAGCAGCTGATACAGCCCAGCTAACAGGGCTTGGCTCCCAGTGAGGGCCTGGGCCCTGTCCTCTAGCCTCTGACTCATTCGTGTGCAACCCAGAAGATGATTCAGGCTTCTTGAGCGGAGGCCAAGCTGTCAGGTTGATCCTGAGACACAGCCGTGAGCAGTGACAGACTCTCTCTGCTGAGTTGGGCAAGGCCCATGATCTCCGAACCCCGCCTGGGCATTCCTGAGTGAGCAGAAGACAAAGGGTCTTTCTCTCCTTGTGTTTCATTATCCAAAGTCCCCTCCAGATATCCTGCCCCACGGGGATGAGCATGCCTGGCTTTTTGAGGCAGAAATGTTTCCTTTCGTGTTCTTTTCTGGGCAGACTCTGTCTGCCTTGCCCAGATAAAGATTACAAGTATCTTGTGTTCTTTCCTCCCTAACTGTTCTCTTGGACGGTGTCTCTGACATACTGCAGCCTCTTCCTTTCTAGAACAAAACAGACAGCCTCTCAGACATACCAACTGTGGTCTGAGTGAAGCAAACAGGACACAATTCACTGCCAAGGGATGGAACAGGAGATGCATGATCTTTGCCTCTTGTCCTTGGCCTTGTGAGGTGCACGCCTGTCTTGCTTGGAAGCGTGGGCTTGATTTTCTCTAGTTTTGCTTTTAGTTTCAGGTATACAGCAAAGTGATTATTTCTTTCAGATTATATTCCAGTAAAGGTTAGTTCAAGATATTGAGTATAATTGCCTGTGCTTTACACCATATCCTTGTCGGTCTTTTTGATGGATAGTAGTTTGTTAATCCTAAATTCCTCACTTGTCCCTTCCCCCTCCCTTTTCGCCTTTGGTAACCATAAGCTTGTTTTCCATGTCTGTGAGTGTGTTTCTGTTTGGGATATAATTCATTTGTATTGTTATTTTTTAGCCTCTCTATACGAGTGATAAGATAGAACATTTGTTATTGTCTGCCTCACCTCACCAAGTATAACACTTTCTCTGTGCCCGCTCCTGCATAGCCCTTGTTGCCGCATAACTCTCAGTCTTCCTGCAAACCGTGGTCCGTTTGCTGCTCTTCACGCAGTGGGTTGCATCCGACTCTCCGCAGCCCCACGGGCTGCAGCACGCTGGGCTTCCCCATCCTTCATTGTCTCTCAGAGTTTGCTAAAACGCATGTCCACCGAGTCGACAATTCCATCCAACCATCTCATCTTCTGTCGTCCCCTTCTCCTCCTGCCTTCTATCTTTCCCAGCCTTAGAGTCTTTTCCAGTGAGCCAGCTCTTCGAATCAGGTGGCCAAAGTATTGGAGCTTCAGCTTCAGCATCAGCCCTTCCAATGAGTATTCAGGGTTGATTCTCTTTAGGAGTGACTGGTCTGATCTTGCTGTCCAAGGGACTCTCAAGAGTCTTCTCCAGCACCACAGTCTGAAAGCCCTCTGGAACTGAATTGCTCTATAAGAGGGCAGTTGCTTAATTTAATTGACTAGCTTCTGCTGAGCAAGCTACGGTGCACATGCAAAAGAGAGAGAATCGCTAGTGGTGTGAGCAATTCTGTGCCCCTTTCCACTCACGTCTGCTCATCGAGCTTGTGTCCTGAGGTGACTGTACTGGGAAAACATGAATTTAACATCCTCCCTGTTGAACTCTGTTCCCAAACCGTGTTGATACAGAGTTTAAAGACTCATATTTTTCATGTAACATGGCCTTATTTCCACTATGGCTCATTTAGATTCCCTCTGATTTTCATTTTTCTGCCAACGTTGAACTTACTGTCCCTTTAGTGATAAGCCTGGTTTGCACAGACATGGCTTGCATTCATTTTATTTTGACAAAGAACAAAGAAGCAGGTGGAGCCGAGTTAAGTTATTTGGGGAGAAGATGGACTTACTTGCTGGAATCTTGGCCGCCTCTCTCAGAATCCCAGTGGTTTTCATATCCTCTAAATGAATTTCCCAGCGCAACAGTTTGGGGTCTAAATTACCGAAACGGTTAGGATGGTTTCTTCTTCCTGACTCTAGAGAGGAGTGCTAATTTTGGACATCTGCTTGGTGTGTGGCCACAGCTGTAGTGTAGATGGCGTGCTGGGAGCAGCCCCGGCCCCAGCCCGCGTCAGCTGACCTGTGACCTGAGGGGCATTAACACTGCCTCCGAGCTGCTCTCCCCGGGGGGTCGGCCCCACAGTCTGGTAATGAGGCTTCTCTGAGAGCTGCCTTGCATCTCCCCACTGCTAGTTATTTAGGGATACGGAAACCAGATCACAGAACTCATTTTCCCTTCCCTTTGCCAGAAAATTCTTTTGTTTTGTTTTGCAGATATCCGTCTCCAGAGACATTTTTCCTTATGTTTTTGTTACAACTGGGAAGGGCTAAAAAGGCAGGCAGTTACATTTTCTTTTTGTTTTAAGTTAATGTAAAATCGTGGCCCAGATCTTGAACGCTTCCCAGGTGGCTCAGTGGTAAGGAACCCGCCTGCCAGTGCAGGAGATGTGGGTTGGATCCCTGAGTCGGAAAGATGCCCTGGAGAAGGAAATGGCAACCTACTCCGGTATTCTTGCCTGGAGAATCCCATGGAGCCTGGTGGGCTAGGAGTCCATGGGGTTGCAAAGAGTCTGATACAACTTAGCAAGTAAACAGCAACAGAGCCAGTCATGAACTCTTGGCTGCCGTGCTGCCTGACCAAGAACCCTGTGCAGAGCTGGGAACTCCCGAGTGAATTCCAAGCCCCACTGCTGGGCTCAGGATGACCTTGCTGGCCTGCAGGACCGAGTGGCCCTGTGGTGTGCTGGCCTCCCCCAGGACAGCACAGGTGCTGGCCGATGGAATGAAACTAAGGAGTCGTTTAGAGGCTTCATGGAAGAAGTCGAGAATCTGGCTCACCAGCTCCTAGCAACTGTGTGCCTTGAGAATGCCAGGACAGTATTTAGATGCCCCAGAATCTCACCACCTTGGATATCTTAGAGCAATGTGGCCTTTGCTCTTACATGAAGTTTCTGCAAAAGAATGACCTGACATGAATCAAAATTAACATGAACTTGAGCCACAGAGGTAGCATATCTAAAGCCTTTCTCTGCAAACTGTTTGGACAGCACAGAGGAAACACATGTACTAGTTTTACCACTTCAAATGGATTCTCAAACATAGCTTCTGAAAAACCAAATTAATAATATTTTCTGTAGCAGAAGATCCTGTTTAATACTGCATAACTTGAGAACCAAAATGCTTGGCTTAGAACTTTTCAATTAATTTGTAATATATGTGTTGAATATATGTGTTGAAAAACAGGCTCATAAATGTATTTCTTAATGAAATAATATTTTTGAAAGTGCCATAATGTGTGGGAAATAGCAGGCTCCTAGTTAATATTCGTTTCTTTATGTTTTCTCCATCTGGAGGGCCTGTTTTATCCATATAGCATAGAATTTGGCTTGTACATAATGCTGGGTGAAATCTCATTAGTCTTTTTAAAATCAGCCATTTAGTTCCATTTTTGCTTTCTATTAAATCCACGGACTAAAAACTGTTTATGTTATATTATGCTGTATAAAATTGGCCTAGAGCAAAGATAAA